CTCCCCCGAGGGAGGCGAAGGAAGCCCGGCACCCGCGGCCAAGGGCTCGCAGCCCCGCATGGCTAGCGGGTSCCACGGCCAGCTGCTGCGGATGTGGGAAAATCGGAGGCGGCGAGCGGGGAAGCGCCCAGGCACAGGGGCTGCCCAGCGCCAGACTTCCCAGTACCCAAAACGGACTCGGCCCCTCTCGGCAGCGGTCCCGGCCCAACGCTCAAAGCCATAATCGCCGCGCCCTCACCGTCGGGCGGGCGCCGCGGTGTCGGCGCGGTGCGGATGCAGACCCGGTGAGGGTGCGGGACGGCAGCAAGCGAATCACACACTCCGCTCCGCCGCCGCGGCTGTTTAACCGACCCGCGCGCGCCGGCGGCGCCTCCGAGCGCCCTCAGCYCCGCCCCCTCAGCTCCGACCGCCAGCCATTGGTTACCGCCACCATCACCCCGAGATCTTATTGGTCCTTGTCCTGCGCTCTCGCAGGGTTTTGCCGCAGCAATTTCTTTCAGCCCGGCATGCCTTGCGGCCGTTCCCATGGCGACCGGCAGTCGCGGTGATGCGCGGTGAGGCGCGGCCTTGGGGCGGCCTCGGCCTTGGGGCGGCTCCGGACCCCCGCCGGGCCAGCCCAGCCCAGCCAGGACTGTTTGCTCTCAGGCCGTACGCAGCCCTTCCCCGTTGCCTTGCTTTTTTTTCTTCACGGCTGAGCTGCCTGAATGCAGGAAGGAAGGAGGGGAAGGAATAACCCCAAGCACCGGTACAGTTTCAAGGCTGACCGGCTGGAAAGCAGCTCTGCGGAGATGRAACTTGGGTTGCTGGTGGACAACAAGCTGTCCCTGAACCAGCAGTGGGCCTTGGGGGCYAAGAAAGCCAATGGAATCCTGGGGAGCATCGGGAAGAGCATTGCCAGCAGGTCAGGGAGGTGATCCTGCCTCTCTGCTCAGCCCTCGTGAGGCACATCCAGAGTGCTGTGTCCTGTTATGSGCTCCTCAGGACAAGAGAAACATGGAGCACCTAAACTGGGTACAGCAGACAACAGAGATGGTTAAGGGACTGGAGTATCCCTCAGCTTGAGGAAAGGCTGAAGAAGCTGGGCCTGTTCAGMCTCTAGAAGAGATGCCTGTGAGAGGACCTCATTAATGTATATAAATRTCTAAAGGGTGGGTGTTAAAGGATGTACCAGGCTCTTCYTGGTGGTGCTGAGCAATAGGACAAGAGGCAGACAACAGGCAGAAACTRATGCYCAGGARSTTCCACCTGAGCATGAAGAAGTATTTCTTTATTGTGCAGTGACCGARCACTGGAACAGGTTGCCCARAGATRTTGTGGAGTCTCCCTCMGTGGAGATATTCCAGAACTGTCTRGACACAATCCTGTGCCATGTGCTCTGGGGTGACCCTGCTGGAGCAGGAAAGTTGGACCATATGATCCACAGTGGCCCCTTCCAGTGTGAACTGTTCTGTGACTCTGAATGCAGCTGGTCACTAAAATGTGTCCATGACTAYAGCATGAGAGACTCTGTGCTGCAAAGAACATAAGAGTTTAAAAATACCATATGAGAAAAATAGGAGAAAAATCATGGTGTGGTCTGATGATGGTGCTAAATGTCCCAATRAGGCAGGAAGATCCTGGCGAGGGAGCCCAGCCCATGCCCGGGGAATGCAGTCCCGGGCTGATTTTAACAGCATGATGTCATCTCTCCTGAGAATGGGTTAAGTAAGTTCTTTGTATCTACAAAGCTGGCAGAACTCCTGGATGATTCAAATAAAGTGATAAGCAGGGCACATTTTGGAAAAGAAAAGAGGAAAAAAGGCCTCCAGTGTGTCCTAATGCTCCTGATAGCAATCAAGGCACCTTTCACTCCTCCTTACAATTCATCAGAACCCACAAACCYTCAGTCCTGCTCCCCACGAGGCTTTACTTTAAGCCAGGAAACTGCAACATTAGAAATCTAAACAAAAAAATAAAGAAAAGTTAAAACTATTTGCAAAATTATTTAAGTACACCCTGAGGCTTGTGCTGGCTTTGGGGTTTTGTTTTTTTTGGTTTTTTTTTTTCCCGTCATGTTTGTGCTCGAAGCACAGGTTGCGCTGCGCCGCGAAGCAGCGGGGGAGGTTCGGTGGCYGTGTCCGGCAGATTTGGCGTTCCCTCGGGCTGCGGAGCAGAGCCGCTCCCGGTCCATCCCCGGCCGGAGCAGGCACTTCCCGGAGCGCGGTCCCGCCCCGCCGGTGCCCGAAGATGGCGGCGGCGCTGTGCCGGTGCCGGTGCCGGTGGCGRGCGCTGCTGSCYCGGCCCGCTGCGGCTCTGCGGGCGCTCCGCGGTCTGGCCGCGGGACCGGAGATGCACTTCGGCTTCCAGAGCGTGACGGAGGAGGAGAGGAGGGAGAAAAGTGAGGGCGGCCGCGGCGGCGGGAGAGGGCGGGCTGGGCCCGGAGCCGAGCTGSGCTCCCGGGCACCCGGTGATCGTTCTCCAGAGTGCTGGGGACGTGCTTGGGGCTGGGMCCTGCTTTGAGGCGTTACCGGGAGTCTTGATGAATAATAACACTGAGCACGAGAAAGTGGGTTGTGTTTCTTCAGACACCTTTGTCAGGCTCAATAGGGTTCGATCATACATTTTTTTTGTCATGAGTTTCCAGGTGGTATTTTTCAGCTCCACGTACTGACAGACCTCCACACGGCAGTAAAGGACACATTTTAGTTAAGCATGAGCATTTTTAAGTAAATTGCATTTCATCCCCATGTCCTTTCTTTGCAGTTTATCAGGTCTTTGAAAGTGTGGCCAAGAAGTACGATGTAATGAATGATTCCATGACTCTGGGAATTCATCGGGTGTGGAAGGATATCCTCATGCATAAAATGAACCCTTGCCCAGGAACATTTCTTCTTGATGTTGCTGGGGGAACAGGTAAATAATTTTGGTGAGTTCCACATGACAATGCCATGCTATTTTTCAGCTGTTTAAGTCTGCTTAGAAGTAAGTTGCCTAGCTTTTTCCACCCCCCCCCCCCGCCTCAGTTCCCTGTCTTTAAAACTAGTGAAGCATCCACTTGACTTTCACAGAGAAAAGTTGACTAACTTCTTGGTGTTTTGTAATATCTTGCTCCAGAGGTCTTAGAGTGTTATAATAGTGCCATGAGATGTTGTGGAAGACAATTTGTAGAAAGTCATTGGACTCTTGCTTTTAATGTGTTCCCTTTATATTTATGTATATATACACACACTCTTTCTGTGTCTATACAGTATGTGTGGGGGATTGTTTTATTAATATATATGACTAAAAATAAATATTAACTTTGTTGGATGTTCAAAACCTTATGTTTCAACTTCTTGGAGACAGAAAACATTCCAAAATGTGTATCTTTCCTTTAAAACAACTACAGGTGACATCGCCTTTCGATTCATTAATTATGTTCGTTCTGTACGGCAACGCCAGCTCCAGAGGAAGCTCAAGCAGCATCAGAATTTGTCATGGCAGGAAATTTTTGAGAATTACCAGAAAGACAAATTTAGCTCACTAGGGGATTCCCAAGTGGTGGTCTGTGACATCAACAGAGAAATGTTAAAAGTTGGGAAGCAGAAAGCACAGCATCTTGGCTACTCTGAAGGTAAGTAATGCATTGTACCATGGCAGTAACATTCCTGATAGCAAGAAATTGTAAGGAGCAGAGGTGTTTTTCACTGTTTCCCTGTGYACATTCACCAACAGTGGGAACTGTGCATAGTGAAAAGGAGCACGAGTTGCACAGTCACTGATTGTGCATTTTGTGTGCAGGAATGATGAGCTTACCAATAACCTGGACATCCATGCTCCACAGATAGATATGATCCTGATCCTTTGGGAGCTGGGAAGCAGCACAGCTGCARCTGCATTACATACTGATAGTGCTGATGGAGAGAGTGTGGCTTTTCATGTTCCTTAGTCTGTGGAAGCTGTCTAGCAAAATGTGTTATGTGTTTTGGCCATTGTTGCATGTCAAGACATTAATAATTGTTTGCAGGTACTCTTTGAGCAGAGATTCTCCTTTTACAACTTTGCCACCAGCAAATGACAACTAACAATGCTTTCCACATGATGCAAGTTTTGGGTAAAATCTTCTGTATGTATGTACTGAACAATGTTTTGGCTGATCTGCAGAATTAACTACTCTGTGGTGAAAGATTCGTGAGTATAGGCCAAGGTGTCTTTCCTCCAACAAAAATGCAAAAAGGAAACATTTGTTTTAAATATCACTTCTAAACTAGAATGGTAAGTTCTAATCTCTCTGGAACAGTCTGAGTTCAATTCTGTGACTTGTGTTTTACTACAGGCTTGTCCTGGGTACTTGGGAATGCTGAAGAGTTGCCTTTTGATGATGATATGTTTGATGTTTACACAATTGCCTTTGGAATCCGAAATGTAACTCGTATTGATTTGGTAAGTTACCAGAGTGTATCCTGACACAGGATCATGATGATTTTTTATTCTACAGAGGAAGTGAAGTAGGAATTCCTTTGGGTAAAGGAAGATCCTAGTCTACTCCTGAAACATTCAAAATAAGTGGCATGTAGTGTGCAACTTGTTTGAGTGGAGAATGCAATTAAGTGCCCYACCTTTGTCATAAAAAGATAGGTTTATACCAGTTTCACCCAATCCTTCCAGCTTGGCAAACCATACAGTCTCTTCCTAATGCAAAGGGCTGTCTGCTACAGTCATTCCTCGCCTTCTCCTGACTCACGACATGGCTGGATCTGTACATGCACAGTGCAGTCAGTCTGCATATCTCAAACCTTCCTGAAGCACCTGATCTATATCCCACCAGCAATGGGTGCAGTGCTTCCTGTCCCCTTCTGTTTCCCTGCCTGAGCCAACACAACTGCCAGAGCAGAGTGGGRAGGAGGCTGCTGCCCCCACAGCTGTTGAACTAACCTGTTCAGCCCACTTCTGCTCAGCATCTTTACGCTGGCAGAGCTCCCTATAAAGAACAGATAAGATTTTATTTAGAATAAGCTGTAACCTTTGTTCTAAACAATCTCTGTCCTTTGAGGAGGACTGGTTGTTGTGGGGGTGACACCTGTCTGGGTGCACTCGTTGTCTGTGTTTTGGAAGAGCATGTTACAACCTTGGCAGAGCTCCTGTGGAAGGTGTAGCATTTGGATCCAAACCACYTTGAACCATATGGCTTTGAACTTAATGTGGATGGCTTTTCCTGGTGCTTTGTCTGTGCCCTTCCAAAGCACAGGCTCTTTGCCTTCATGCATACAGCAGTCTGGTAGCAGAGCTCCCTGATACAAAACACATCCAGTCTGCCAAWTCTTTTGCAGAGCTCYTGTGTAGTGTTTATATTTTATCCTTTAGGAACAGGACAGTTGAAATCAAGCAGATGWACAACCTTCAGAGGTTCTGGAATACCACTCTGCTCTGCTCCTGTGTTAAAGGACATACAGTTGTAAACAGCATTTTGTCTTGATTCTTGTTAGATATTCTTTTTTGATGCAGGATGGGATTTTCAAAGGAGCCAAGATTTTCTTCTTCCTTCTCCTTCCTCTTTTTACACATTGCTCACCTGAAACTCAGTATTGTTCCTTCTTTGAACCTTTGGGTGTGCCTCACAGTAAAATCTTTTCTTTTGATTTAAAAAAAATTATCATGCCCTTTTTTCAGTTTCTTGTAGCTGAGTCACCTTCTCCCTTTTGTGTTTGGTCTGTAATTACAAAAGCTGTGCCAACAAATTTTCATCAACTGGGAGTAGGAAAAGAAAAATTGCAAACCCGACATCACAGTTTTGACACAAAGCCTTGTAAAARTCTATTTATGTAACAGCGAGAGTATTTGTGCTTTGAGTTTGTGGCATGTTTGCGGTATTTTACTTGTCTTGGGATTCTTCACAGTAAATATTGCAATTTCCAGTCAGGATACTCCTAATTCCCCTCATTTTTTCAGAGTTGCATGATAACATCACATGGCATGATAATAGGCAAGTGCTGTTCTACAGAAAGAAACTTACCACATCTGCTTTGTCTCAGGCACTTCAGGAGGCTTATCGCGTGCTGAAACCAGGAGGAAGATTTCTCTGCCTTGAATTCAGTCATGTCAGCAACCCTCTGCTTTCCAAGTAAGAAAATGGTGATGGTTTATGCCATGTCATAAGGCTCTCTTACTTGTACTCACACAGAATAAGAGATGGAGACGCTTTGAGGCCACATCTTGGTGCACTTTTAAAATCAGCTACAGACTGTGGAGYATAGTGGCACAGAGACCAGCTCATGTTGGAGAGGGTTGGTTTTAAACTTGTTTCTCTTAACCTGCATTTGCTGTCTGTCTGTGCAGGCTCTATGATCTCTACAGTTTCCAGGTTATCCCTGTTTTGGGTGAGGTTATTGCTGGTGACTGGAAGTCTTACCAGTATCTTGTGGAGAGCATCCGACGGTTCCCCCCTCAGGTAAGGCAGTATTTCTCTGAATTCACTAACACACAAAACACAATCCCAGCATAATCTTGTGGCCAGCTGGTTTACAGGCCTTCAGATTGTTAATAATTATGGCACTTCTTTTTTAGGAGGAGCTGAAGGCAATGATAGAAGATGCAGGCTTTTTCAAAGTGGATTATGAGAATTTAAACTTTGGCATTGTTGCCATTCACTCAGGTTTCAAACTTTGAGTCTCTGTAGCAAAACACGGAAAGGATATGAAAGCWGTGGAATTTTAATGGTGTCAAGAGGAGTTCTAAGAACTTGTGCAGCAGATACTTGCTCAGCAGCCGGACTCAGAAGAACACAAGTTACCTCTCCCCACCAAGAAGCCTGTGGAAGGAGTGACTCCAGTGGTGTTTCTTACACTTGCACTTCCCTTCAAGTGCGAAAGACATGACCAAAACTGAACAATGCTAACAAGTGAAGCAACTTCAGTTGCCACTGGGTGTGGATAYCAAAATAGACTGATTAGTCTTCAAATAAAATCCATTTCTCTTTACTGAGTTTTAAGGGTATTATGAGAAATAACCTGGATTTATGAAGTAACTATGGACTTTTATGAAGCTGTTATCTTTGTCATGTGGAGTTTAAGGATTTTTTCCCATGACTCCTTTACTTCTKTCAAAGGCAAATGGAAGGCTTAAGAAATAAAAGGGCTCTGCATCAACTTTTTTCCACTAAAATCAGTCTTACAAGAAGGTTTCCTGAGAAAGGATGGGGTGTGGGAATAGATGTGGGGATGTTTGTACTACATTAACACAGCAATAAAGAGGGTAATGCAAGAGGGCAAAGGGATAAACTTGTTCCAACAATTTTATTAGCAAAGAAGCCATCTTTTGAAAGAAAATAAATACAAGGAAGACACTTTTGCTTTTTTATATAGCCACAATGAAAATACCAGCTGCTACAGCAAAATCCCTGACCATTAACAATACAACAAAAGACCTGAAGATCAAGATCTGTTTCCCGAGGAAGGCTGAAGGTTTTCAGTGTGCAGTCCTGTACCCAGGTGCAAGTTTCAGTAACAGTCCATGGTTCTAACCAGACTTGAAAAGAAGAATAGCCACTTGGCCAAGGTAGAAGTAGATGAAATGCTTGGTCTCATGAGTCACATAGCTTCCAAAGTTCCTTCCCACGATGCAGTGCCACGTGGGATTGTATTTCTTGTCAAATTCCTAGAGAAAAGAGAACGAGAAAGTCAGCATTTTCATGGTAATTATACTAATATCATCTTACGGTTGAGGGTTTTTTTTTGGCAATGATTTGTCACTTGTTAACAACTATCACTTTTGGAAGAAGGCAATTAGGGAGCAACATATGCTCTTAAGCACAAGGATCATCTGCTGCTTAGTCATAAAAAAAAAAAAAAGTGCTTCCAAGCAGAGCAGGAATAATCTTAAAACACACGTTTGGGGAAGTAACTTTTCCCCTAAAGTCATGTCATGATCTCAAACCATAACTTGTAAGAACTTCACTGCTTGTTCTGAATCTACAGCTAAATGAGTGTTTTGACTTAATTAGCTGTTTTTTGCAATAAGATGTTGAAATACACTCGATGGAAAATTCTCCACCACATCCTTGACATCTGCTCATGAGATGATGTTTTTGTGACATGCTGTTGCCAGGAGCCTGCTACAGCCTATAACAGCCTATAAATTAACACCTGTATACAGGTCTACAGTGAGCAAACCTATGCAGTCAGTGTATTTATACTCCAGTACATAACAGCTGTCAGCTGAAAAGATTTTTGTAAGGACATGGAAGTTTCTGTTCTGATCAACCAAACCTTCAGCTACTTGCAGCTCAGTCAGACTCCCAGTAGGAGTAAGAGAGAAAATGTGACGAACTGTAAGCTATGAACCATCTGTTCAGCGTTAGCATGAACAGCTTGTCTTACATGTGGTGGAAAAGGGAAAAAACCAAACCRACTTATTACATGGTCAGCAAACCACCACTCTTTAAATAGGCTGCACAGAGCCAGTGTCTTGTACCAGCTCATCAGTCACAGGGACGGTCAGGTGCCACACTGTTCACCTGGACAATGGGACAGTGGCATAAAAGGTGTAAGGCACTACAAGAGAAAARCAGAAGGACCTAGAAAGATCCACATAAAGGGTGGGGAAAGGAACAGAAGGAGAGAAAGTCTAACTTGATGATCTAGTGTCTCTAGAACTCGTTCCTCTAGAGCTACTCGCCTTGCAGTGTTCTYCCCAATTGATTTTTCATGAGCACATTACAAGCAAACRTTTACCTTCTTTATGTGAGCAGCGATGTCCTTCTCAATGTTGTATTTCTCTAAGGCTTGAGTAGCACATTCCACCGAGTCTTGCTGCATCTCCTCTGACATGTCCGCATTTTTGATCACTGCCTTTCGATCACTCATGATTGCCTACTTGGAGAAAAGAAGAAAATTTAAAGTTTTAGGAGCAGCTCCCTGCCACAACCACCTGCCAAGCAGCCCCACAGGTATCGTCATTCCCAGCGCGCTCTCGGCTCCGCGCGGTGGCACCGCCGTGCTCGGGCAGCGTTGGCCGGGAGTGCCGGGCACGGGCACAGCCCCGGGCACAGCCCGAGCAGCGGCGGCTCAAACGCCGCCTCACGTTCAGCGCCCGCTCTCCGGCCGGAGCGACACGAGCACCGCCGCCCTCCCGGCCCTCCCCAGCCCCGCTGCAGCCCGGGAGCTCCGCCAGAGAGCGCGGCCCCTCCATCGCTCGTCCCGACGGCTCTTCCCTCCCCCGAGGGAGGCGAAGGAAGCCCGGCACCCGCGGCCAAGGGCTCGCAGCCCCGAGTGGCTATAGGGGAAGGGTCCCGCGGACAGACGCCGAGGATACGGGAAAATCGGAGGCGGCGACCGGGGAAGAGCCCAGGCACGGGAGACCCGCCGGGACACGCGAGGTCCCCGAATATCGAGATGGCTGAGTCTGTCCCGGAGCCGCCCGCGCCCCGTCCCTCACCGTTCAGGCGCTGCGCGGTGTGGAGCGGGCGGCGCGGCGCTCTGATCCGTGCGTGCCTAGCAACGCCTCAGCCCCGCCTCAGCCCCGCCCKCTGCGCGCCACCGTTACCGCCCCCCGAGCTCCCATTGGTCAGCGCTGCCGGCCCCCGAGCGCCTATTGGCTGCAGCGCGGCGCTCTCACTGGGTTTTACCTCAGCGTTGTCTTGCGKCCCGGGATGCCCCGCGCCGCGTCCGTTCCCATGGCGACCGGCGGACTGTGGGGAGGGACCGGAGTACAGGGCGCATGTTTTGGGATGAGCATAGAGATTTGGGATGTGTATGGAAACCTTCCAGTCCTGGCTCCCGTGCTACTCGTCTGTTGCGCCAGGGGAGGTTTAGGTTGGACATGAGGAGCAATTTCTTCACAGATAGGAGGATTATACACTGGAATGGGCTGCCCAGGGAAGTGGTGGAATSACTATCCYTGGAGATYTTTAGGGAAAGACTGGACAYGATACTGAGTGCCGTGGTCTGGTTGRCATGGTGGTGTTCAGTAATATGCCCTTTACTGAGAGTGAAGCCTACCTATGCTGAGGGAAGGAGTTCCATAGTTTGTAAATGGCACTCGATCATCTGTCCAGTTCACTTGCCTGTTTTCAGTTGTGTCTTTTCAATTCAGACTAACTGACCTCTGATAGAAATCTCTGACCCATATTTACTGGGTATGATCAAGTCAGCTCCTAACTTTGTTCCTCTAATGAATCAAATCTATCAGACTTC